AACTGTTTAATTTGACGTTTGACTGAAAAACGATCTCTTGGAAAGTTGTAGCTGAGAAAATTTCCCAGATGAATCAAGACACAGTCAATCAATTTGGATTCTTCTTGTTTTTTAAAATACTCTTCAATCATCATCATAAGTATACACATACATTCACACACAAGCCACCCAAAAGTTTAAAGCAAGTGTTTCATGCTTTTACATCATATAATTTCACGTAGTCACGTAATCGAATACATAAAATTAATATAAACTGGAGGTCAAATCGCTTGGTGAACAAAATAAAACACCAAGAAAATCACTTCGACTCCACTTTTTTGCTAGCGAACGTAAAAAAATCTTTGGGCAAGCGTTGAAATATGTATTACCTCTAGCAGTCAATATAAGTTTATTAAAACATGCAAATACGAAGTTTAAACCAATAAATTAGATGAGTGGATGTTTTTAATGGTGAATAAATATAAAAAAATTATTGATAAAACTAAAAGGACCTTTTTTGGAACTCAAACGTTTCAATTACAAAGGTAAAAAAATGAATTATAAACAAACAGGGAGATGGCAGCATTGCATGTATCCTTTTTTATTAAAGAGACTTTTAGCCTTGGGCTGGTTCGTCTCTGAGCTTGCATGTATCCTGTTATTGGCTATCCCGCTTAGGGGTGTAAACAAAATATCATACAGCGTGGTCTGGCAGTGTAAATGTTTTGTCTACAGCATTCCTATAGACTACTCTGACGTTTGTGAGTTGCACATGTATTAGTACAGAACTTTGGGTAAATGCAAAGGTTCTCTTGCACTAATACTTATAATTTACCCCGAGTTCTGCACTAATACTTGTGCATTTCACAAACGTCAGAGAAGTCTATACACGTGCATGTGTGACGTGATATTTGAGATGGTAGAGTTTGCTCACCATACCAGTTGCTATTTTTGATGCATTGACTGTTTTGGCACGGCGGCGCACGCAACCAATGAATTTTACCAATACTTTTAGAAAATGATGATTTAGAAATACAAGAAGAAGAAGCAAAAGCAAATCGAGTGATAGCTACCCAACAAACAATCGTCTTTTGAAGAAACGACTTCTTGACCATTTTTATTCAACTGCATGCTTAATAGTACTTGTACTATTTATATTAATAACTTCTGTTCAGGCTTTGTTCACACAAATCTGGAGAATAACATTGAACTACTAGGTTTTGTATAAGGTATGTCGAGAAGCTTTTATTCGACATGAGTTGTAACAGAGATTATACGATAACATTTTTCATTATTCAGCGTTGCTCTGTATACGCTTGATTCTCATGTGAAGTAACGTTTAATTAGACATTATTATACATTTATTAAACGATTATTCAACTGTGCGAAAATTAACCCGAAAATAAGATGGACGGGGACAGGAAGGATGTATTTCTCTTATGTGATTGTTTTCATTATATATTACGAGGAACGCACCACACAAATATTAGAAAAATTATTATTTACATATACATAGTATTCATATGATTCGAACCATGTACCTTTCTTCCAATCACTAGCCGCTGGCCTTGTCATCTGAGCTATCTTAGAATTCATCATATGGGGAACTCAATAATCAATAAAATCTTGCTTGAAAGTAAATACCTATCAGCACTTCCGATCGCAACTCTAGCTCCTTCAAGGCCAATTCAAGCGAGAGCATGCTCGGTTATTTTTTTAAACTAGATCTACACTGAGGCAAAAGAACGTAAGAATTCCATAAGAACCACTTATGAATTTTAGCCACAAGAAATTGATATGCATTTCATTGATTTGCCTTATGAAAAATAATGTTGATAAAAAAATTATAAAACGGTGTAGACTAGAACCGAACCATGGGCGTTGTAATTACGGGGCCCGTGTGTTGACCACTCGTCTTTCAAAGCTTGGGAAAATTGAATGGTTACCGGTGTATAAGAGCTATCTCATGTTAAATGAAAATCATTCATATAGGTCACGTTTATGAAATTCATATGTGTCGTTCATAAGCCGAGCCTTATGATATTCTTAAGTTTAGTTGCCTCAGTGCATTCATTGTCGTGAGCAAGGAATCAAAAATATCTCCAAATGACAAAATAACAAGCGATCAACGAACCGAATAATAACGCTATGTCAGAAGTTGAAAACAATAATGATATAATCTTCACCGTTCTTTATCATGACAAGCAGCTCGTGCGACCCGACTCATTCGGGGCGGTAGAAGGAAACGAGCAAATTGTTGGCAAGCTGCTTCACGAAGTAAAGCCGAAGATGATACACGTGTGTTAATGGGAATTTTTTTGTTATGTCTTTTCCCGATTCATATCAAGCTATGTCCTCATCCGTGTATATTGCAACAAAGCAGGCAAGCAATATGTATATCATTATCCTTCTACCACTCGGATCGAGCTTTGTTACAGAGCGAGTTTGTCATGGTAGTCGTAGCAACCGTTTTGTCTGTATCGTTGGTTGCTTTATGTGTTTGGATTCGCTGGTCGTGAGTCATGTCATGTAATTAGACGTAGAACACAAATAAAAAAGGGTTGAGCTTGGGAGATTGAACTCACAACCTTCTACTTGGAAAAAGGAAATGGTAACCACTACTCTAGTGGTTTCGTCTTGTTGATAGACTGAACCAGTGTCGAATAATAAATTTAATACGTCGTTTATAAAGCATTTACATAGCATGTGATTACAACATGGACGCATAGTGGTGTAAGAGCTATTATGCTGACTGTTTTCACCTTTATTCAGCAATATTGTAAAGCAATGCAATGCAATCTAATAATTGAGCTAGAAACCATTTATTAGACGTCTAATAAAACATGTTTTTAAATCAATTAAAAACATTCGAATTAAAGCGGCAATGTATGTGCAATAGACTGATGCAAAATTTGACTTTTTCGCTCCACAGTGCTTAAATGGTTTCAAACCGGGTCGTGATTAGCCTCCAAAAGTTACAACTCATTTGGTTAGAAACAGACTTCGCACAAACCATTTGAAGTTTACATGTAAATTACTATGGGAAATCTCAACTTTTTGTTCATTGCCTTCTAGTCTTTTCCCATATTAAGCTGCAAAACAACTCGATAGCTATTCTTATAGAAAATTTTCTCAGCTACAACTTTGCTGAAGATCGTTTCTATGTAAAACGAAACAGGAAATAGTTATTAATTATTTAAGAGATTGGTAAACTTATGACATGATCAAGCAGCTGCTCTGTAGGCAACACTGTATTTTGCAGTGTGACATAGTAGCCATAATTTTTGTGTCCTATTCAACGCCCCAGAAACACCAATGTTGCCTGCTGAGCAGTTGATTGAGCATGATCATAAGACATCAGTGCATTGAACCATTAATAACTTTCGATCCTTGCATTTAATCAAAAAGTGGTCTTCAGTAAAGTTGAAAGCTTTTGAAGCAGACCGATATTGTGAATTATTAGATAGACATGAACAAAAATCTTGGTTTTACCATAGTAATTCCTATACAAAAATCAAATGGTTTGTGCCATCTCAGTTTCTCACCAAATGGGTTCAAATTTTGAGAGGTTAGTCAGGATCCGATTTGGAATCGTTTAAGTATTGTGGAGCGAAAATTTCAAATTTTGCATCACTCTAATGTGCAAATTACACTTATTCAGTTTGTTATCAGATCAAACTTCTGCCATTGAATTGGGATGACAGTCAACGTTTATACAGATTTAAGTAAGTAAATTAATCAGATCAGAGCAAACAGTGCAATAAATGTGCATCTATTGATCTCAATGAGCTTTTTCAGCACTTAATTCGACAACTCACTTTATTCAGCATTGTACCAACAATCAATACGAAACTAACGTTATTAAATTGGCTCACTACTTGACTAGCCTATTGGTCCAAGCAAACGATTAAAGTACCCCATTCTAGTCGAAATTCTACTACTACACAATGTTTGTTTTGATTCGCTATGACAGTTTGACAGTTAAAATGAGGGGTTAGTGGATTTTCGCATGTTTCGAGGGGTGAATCGATTAGCTTGGGACCGAAGAAAGTACCAGAGCTGAGTCAAAAAGTTGAGCACGTTACTTCGGGACCTTCTTGTCTTAGAGTTACATCTATGATTGTACCCTGTTATACAGCATTTATATAATGTAGGGGAAATGGATGTAATATCGGCCTAAATGACCCAAATTCGGGCCCATACATAAATTCTACAATCGAATAAATTTTCAATAGCGACCAAAAATATCCATTAGTACCGCCCAATGGCGCGTTCATCTTGATAAAATTTATAAATAGCAGATTTTTAGCGATGGGCCCAATCTTAGATCCATAGGCCAAAATTAGAGCCATTTCCCATATACGCTCATTTGAATTGTTTGTTGGGATAGTTTCCTCTTAAGAATAACTATGGAACATTTTAATAGTACAATATGGAAGAAGGCTAGAAGACAAAGAACAAAAAGTTTGGTTTTCCCATAGTGATTGTATCAAGTCAGTTTCTTGCTAAATGAGTTTAAATTTTGGGAGGCTAGTCAAGACCCGATTTGGAAACAATTGAAGCGAAAAATTCAAATTTCGCATCAGTCTAGTGACCATAAAATATGCCGTGCTGGAAGTATCACAAATATAAACCACTTTGAATTTTAACTTTTTCTGGTTTACAGCAACAATTTGTTCACAGTTAAAGTAGCACATATTGTTTAGGTCATCAGGCCTTTACAATAAATCGAGCGTTTTTGCAATTTTTTGTTATTTTTCATGTAATCAAAATTATTTACCTCTCTTGAATCACATTGGTGCAATTTAGTTGAAAAAAATAGTTGAACAAGATTTTTTTCTAGTATTTAGAATATTTAATAGCGTCCCCTGTAAAATTTACTCAAGTGCATAAGTAGGTACCACTTTGTCTCGCAACGGTTCATTTCTATCAGGAGGGCCTGCAATATTCAATTTGGATGAATTCAATGTGAAAATGTAACTCAAAAACCGCACTTAGTTCTCTCTCGATGCTCCACTTACATTCTGATTAACCGGACTGGCATGGAAGGCAATACTCGGTCGTCCCAGTTCAAACACGTCCTCGAAGACGGCAGCCGGTGGCCGTGCCCCAAACACTACCGGCAGCAGCAGAAGAAGCTGTAAATAGAAACAAATTAGAAGAAGAATATCAGAAATCAGAACCTTTTCATTTAACATAAAATACATCACTTCAGCTGAAAGAAACCTTAATTCAATAATGCTTTTGTTTCGAGCAAGGAAGTCACTCAGATCGTGCTTTAATTATTAAGTTCTTCATCGCATTGCCGGGGATACACGTGTAGTGTGCTTCCATTTGCATAAGAATTCGGAAGCAAATAATTAGATGGCAGCAATACCATCCGTGACCTGGGCAGGAGGACCGGCGGGTACGTGTGAGAAAAAAAATGCCTTATTCCACACCAACACTGAATGAAATTAAGCAAAAAAAAACAAAACATAAGGTGCCGGTGAAGAAGTAGCGTCAAAAGCCATCGATTGCCAAATTACACGACTGTTTAGCACTAATTACGCTTTGCGCCGGCTTGTCTGGCTACTGTGGCATGCACAAATTCGGAAGTGGTGCTCAACCACGGAGATCGGATCGGAAGCAGTGAAACATGTGCTGTCGAGGACATTTTTTCTTTGTTTTGACCCGGCTCAGTAGGTAAGGCAGGCAACGCAACGGTGGTGGTGTGAGCGAGAGTTTTGTTTTGACTGCTGGTGAATCAGAAACAGATCAATAACCGATTCAGTATCATTAGTAATGAATCGTGTGTTGGTTGGATGGTTGGTATGGATCGATTGCAGTTTATTTCAAGAGACGGTTGCTACCATGCACGCACACGCGGTCAATGTCAGTGGGACGTGCACACCGAACGTGAGTGTTGGCAGAGAGTGGAGGATGATGGATGGATAAAAAAAAGCGAAAAGTGTGCAATGAGAGGTTGGGAGATGTAAAGCATTTGAGTGCAAGTGTGATGTAATGCAGTTGAAATTAATGCGAGTGTTGAATGAACCTAAACTGGAACGTTTTGTGGGGTAATGCTGCATTTTAGTCGTCAATTATAAATTGTTGAATCTAGAATAGACTCGATAAAATGATATTTAGCAGTTTGATAACTTATCATCAAGATAAGGATTGTGGACTATAGTAAACTCTCACTTCAATGAGTAAAGTCTTACAAATCCTGACGTTCAGAGTACTTCATGAAGTACTTCAATATTCTCCTTGCGATAATGGGTAATGACGTCGAAGCCTCTCAGCTCCTCAAATATTAATGACATTTACTCATATTTGCTAAAAGTTGACTCATTGTGGCCTACGTTTTTGTGAATTTGTCCGCTTTTGCGACATTAAGTGAACGGTACTCAAATGTTAGGCATTTTCATTTGCCGTGAAGATTTTTTTTTCTGACAGTACGCTATTTCTAAACAATCGAAATTTGAGTAGGATCTACTCATATCTGTCAAAAGTAGGGCTACCCTAAATTGAGCAAACAAAGTTGGAACTGACAAGATGACAAATGAACAATTGGGATTCTGGACGATGTTTTCCATTCGTCATATTCTCAATCCCAACTTTGTTTACTAAATTTGGGTAAACTACTTTTGATGGAAATTAGTAGATCCTACGCAAATTTGGGCTGTTTAGAAATAGCGTGTGTACCGTGTCGATCCGTCCAAGGCAACTACATATAGGTGTTCTAATGTGTCAAATTCATGATTCAGCCTTGTTGGATTTTTTTTATGGGACAGCGACCGAGTTTGTTTACAATTTGCACTAAAACAGCACTCCCCCCCCCCCCCGCGACCTCACGCTTATATAGTGACAAAGCTGGATCCGTCGTTTCACGCAAAGATTAACATTTTGCCAACGGGATTTTTCAGTGGTGTGAAAGGATAAGCAACGATCTGCTGTTTCATGAAATCCGACATTTGCTTATGACTTATGGCTTCCTATAGGAGTGAACAGATTCATAGTCGTCGTCAACGCGAATGGTTTCACCAAAACAAAGTTATCAAATAAAGTTCGTAGGCCATAATTAACAGGGTGGCAAGTCAACACTGGCGTGCACAGGTTGGGACAATGTGGGACAATTGCCCCTCCTTTTATAAATAAGATTTTTCCATATTTACAAAATTATGATATAAAATATCTTGATTTCTTGATAACTTGATTTGAAGGTAAAATAACTTCATTTCATAATATAAGGGCACTGAAAACCTTTTATTGCGTCAATGCCTTTGAGATGGTGCCTGAAAATTGCACCACAAAGGTGCATGAAGGGACAAATTTCAATAAAATTGTTTGGTCAAAAAATTGCACCACAGTGCATACAAAAAAATTCAAGTGTAAATTTTTGTTTCAAGGGTGTTCATGGAGGGTTAAAAGAAGAGGGTAAATTTAAGTTTGAAAAAATTCACCTACGTGGTGGTAAATCGAAGAAATCAAGGTGGTACATGGAGGGACTAATCAAAATGAATAATCGGAATCACGCTAAAAATTTGGAGGCGCAAATTTAACTGAAAACTTCTGGTGGAAAACTTGCTCTGGTCTGGTAAATGAAGGCACAAGTTTTATTTAAAATTAAGCTTTATTGAAAATTACTGGAGGAAAATTTGCACCGTTCTGGTGAACGGATGGGCAAGCTTTTCGGATAATTTTTGGTCCTTAATTTGCATCCTTCTGCTGAATATAATTTCTGGTGTAAAATTTGCACCATTCTGATGATTTGAGGGAAGTTGCTTTTCTGCACATTTATGATGAAATTTCTGAAAATATGGGCAAGCTTTATTTGGTGCAAAACCTGCAACATTCTAATGATAGGAGAAGCAAGTTATTGAAAATGTCTGGTGGAAACTTGAAAAGGAAATCTGCACCAATCATTGGAGAAGTAATTTTTATTGAGCATTAACAGTAGAAAATTCGCACCGTTCTGGTCAATTGAAATTTTCTAGGGGCAAGTATATATTGACAATTTCTGGTGTAAGATTTGCAAGTTAAGGTTCGTCAACAAAAATCAACATCAGCACCGACGGTACCTAGGCCTACTAATAAGATCCATCTGACCGATTGGTGACCATATAGGGTTTGAAAATTAATATCCATGAAGATCAATGAAGATCAGATGTTTGTTTATTGATACACTAGACATTGGATAGCTGAGAAAATAATGTTTGATTTTCACCTAGCGAACGGAATTCACTAATTTAAATGCATTTAAAAATCATCAGTGTTCATTCAGTTAATCTTGGCATTTTAAAATTGCATCATTTTGGCAGAAATTACACTTTAACTGAAAAATTGTCTCAGTTAGCAGACAAGTTAAAAACGTGCCAGTTAAAAGTCGATCACGTAGCGAACGTCTAGTGTCAAAAGTTTCATTTTAGTTCCAATGCGATTTTACTCTAGTCTGTTTCTGAGACATGGTGACATGGTAGTGGTGAAAATATTGTAGTTAAATTCCGTTTTGGTTTACAGATTATAGTAACCCTTGAAAAGAATGCAACAGTTAACATAGCCATGCTCTTGCGATCTGAGATTGAAGCTTGTATCAATGAAAAAAAAATGTTTACTTGCTTGCCATCACACACATGAAGCTGGGGATGAAGGTGCAAATGAATCGAAGGTTCCCTGTTAAAGAACTTATTTTGATTTCGGCTCGATTTCCAATATCTTGTATGTACTATATGATATGAATTTCTTGTACGTACTGTCATGGAAAACATTTAAAAAACAGATATTCAAATGGGTTTCTAATCGGTAACTACATCAGATAAATTCGATGAAATTTCTTCTAGCTCATCTTCCTCGTTGCTCAGTCTTGCTATGGTTGCTCAGTAGACTGATGCAAAATTTGAATTTTTTGCTTCACAGTGCTCAGACGGTTTTAAATTTTTTTGATTAGCCTTCCCAAATTTGAACTTATTTATTAAAAAAAAAACCACTTTTCGATCAAATGTAAGGAACAAAAGTTATAAATTATTCAAGTCACTGATGTCTTATGATTATGCTCAATCAACTCTTCAACAGGCAACATTGGTCTTTCTGGCGTGTAGAATAGGGCACAAAAACCATGGCTACTATGCCACACTGCAGAATACAGTGTTGCCCACAAAACAGCTGCTTGATCATGCTATAAGATTATCCATCTCTTAAACAATTAATAACTATTTAATTTGACGTTTGGCTGAAACACGAAATTCTACAAAGTTGTAGCTGAGAACTATAACTTTTATAACTTTATAAATTTTTAACAGTGCGATATGGAAAGATGTTAGATGACAATGAGCAACAAGTTTGGTTTTCCCATAGTAATTTCCATATAAACTTCAAATGGTTTGTGTCAAGTCAGTTTCGGCCAATGAGAACGACACAAAATTGAGAAAGAGTTACTCATATTTGAGTTCATGTTACTCAAATTCGCGAAAACATAGGTCACCCATAGAATGAGTGAATTTTCCGACGCTTTTCCGAGGAAAACTGCTCGCATATGAGGAAAACTGAATGTGGTTTTAGTCTGTCCACTAGTGCATTTCTATCCTGTGTACAATTTTCTTAAATTTTCCCCATATTCAAGAAGTTTTCCCCGGGAAAGTGTTGCAAAATTTTTTCACACTATGAATGACCTACGTTTAAGCGATTTTGAGTAAGCTGAACTCTAATGTGGGTAGCATTTTTTGTACATGTGCGATTAGTTTGAAAAGATTTTTTTTTCTAAATCATTAAAAATAAACTCACGACGACCCACACCGCCACGCCACCGCCGCCGAAAGCAAATGGCGTGACGCCGCCACGCTGCCGCCGCCGGCAGAAAATAACATATCACGCCACCGCCGAAAATATTTTGATCGGCGCACAGGTCTATTTGAAAACAACGGAGGCGATAATAAACATCCAGCCAGGAATGAAGAAAAACAAATGTTGATTACGATACTCAGAGGTTGCCTTGATCAAGAGAATGTTGTTATGTCAAAATTCAGATTCATGCAAGTAGTGGGTCTATTTGTTAAGGTTATCTTCATTTTCTGCTAAGTTGAGTGTAGAAGAAATGATTTTTATCAGCACTGGTTACTTCCAATCAAAATGACATCTGAGACAAAATGGATGAAAAAAT